GTGTGTGTGTGTGTGTGTGTGTGTGTGTGTGTGTGTGTGTGTGTGTGAGTAATATCATCATGTTTTTATTTACAGATTTAGCGACTGACTCGAAAGTTTTTTATCTTCCTTTAAAATTTAATCGTTTCTCGAAATCGCTCTAGTTCCAAAATTATATATCGCGCCTTAATTAATAAATAATACCGTTAAAGTTGCAAAAATTCAGAATAAATTTTCTTAATTTATTCCTCATTATTATAATAGAGATATCTCGTACATACCTAATGGATATAAGGTGAGGCAATGAAATGTGCACAATATTCAATAAATTTTACATAATATTTATTATTTATAGTGTACTCAGAAATGTCGGGCCTCAACCAGTGGGCCTTCTTCTTTTGACATATTTGATCAATGAACATCACAATGTTAATTTTCCTCTAGTCCGTATAGTTACTTCTCTTCTCTATTAAAAGCGACGCGCAATCTGCTCGTGCCGTTGCGACAAGCTTTACGACACGGTCCGTCTGCATTGTATGAAATATTGCTGCGTATTCGCCGTGCTAAATAAAACCGCAGGTCAAATTCGTTCAAGGAAACGACGGACAAAAGGTGTTGTCGCGAGCGGTTTTAACGCAGTGATTGAACATGCGAAACTCAAAAGCCGCGACGAGCCGATTGCGCCTCGCAGAAAATAGATATGCCCAGCTTCGCGACTCTTGGTTCTCATCCACGATTCAACATGCCAGCATATTCGTACAACAAAACATCGAATAACAACTGCTATAAAAACAAAACGAAAAGAAGAAGTCTTAGCCGCAACTTGTCGTAAGTTTTGAATTTTGTAGGGCGCATATATTATATTCGACAACCAATAATATCTAATAAGTATGTTAAAACGCAACGTATTAATAAACATTTTCTTTTTTCTTTTTTTTACGTATTACATTAGTCCTCGCAAAATTTACAGTCGTTTTCTCGCCGTCGGAAAACATCTCGCTTTATGTTGTCGATATCGGGCCGACACTCGAGGAGTTTCCAAAAGTGATAGGTTTAAAAGTAGGAGATGAAGGGAAAGGAAGGCGGGAGGGAACGGGGGAGTGAGTTTTGACTTTCCTTTTCTTTTCCTTTTTTTTTACTCATATTATAGCCAACCATTCCCACTAATCCCACTGTACACACCTCTTTCTCTGTTTTATTCTTCGTCCCTTCTGTGAACAATGAAAAATTAAAATACGCACGCATCGCCTCGAAGAACGGAACGTCGTAATTAGACAAGAATCGCTCTAGTTCAAAAACCGATTTCGTTCGTCGATATTATCTCGATTACATCGTTTTGATCTTCGACGCGACAAATTGAAAAGTCTCCGCAGGCCAGTCGTCAATAATTCAAAATTACTGAACTGCAACAGATGCGTTTTATCTATTATTTTCTGTTCCATTAGTATTGCCTAATTGTACTTTATTATAGGACGGGAACAACCGACACAAACTTGATTTCAAGTAATTGCCGAATTAGAGTTATATTAAGAAACATTTTGAAATTAGAAGAGATAATGACGTTATCTCATTGAAAATTCTGTCTATGCACAGAACTCGGATATACATCTATCTGCAATAAAATATATTTTTACAACCTTTATATATCTACTTAAAAAATATAATATTGTTTTTTTCCGTGTTTAATCTATTCTACAAACAGATGGCACAATTTTGCATCTTCGCTGCAATTCTTTATCGTTAAACAAAAGGACCAATGGAGCTTCGGTTTGGAATGCAAAATTTAGATCTGTTAAAAGAACGTCAATTGCTCCCTCAATGTATAATGGAGATCAATTAATTATACATTAGAGGCTAATCTTAAGGATCGCAGTTTCGGAGTAAGCATTGCGATCAACTGTATCATTTACCTTGTTGTTCATGCGTTATATATGTATGTTTATATGTGTTGTATGTTATAGTGTGTTGTTTACATGTTGTTTGCTTCCATATTTGTACGAAGTTGAACACGACGCGAGCTCGAATCGAATTTCGACGACTGGTCGGCGGGTGATCGCTAATAAATAGCGCGGAGGCGGCAGTGGCGCGAGGATACATTTAAGTTCTCATTATATAGGAATCATGGGGGATCTCCAATATTCGAAAAACTTGGTAAAAATATCAGTGTGACCTCGCGCCGCTCAGCACGCCCACCCGCTTCTGGCCCACCTTAATTAATTCTCTTAAACCTCCAAAAACACCTCGTCCAGCCTAGCGCTATACGAAATGATCGTTACAATACGATAATATATATATATACATATATATATATATATATATATATATATATATATATATGTATTATATTCTACATTTTACATTACTATGTTCGAAAAATAATATTACAATATATATATAGTGTGTGTGTTGTTATGTGTATTATCATTTTTGTTTATCTTCTTATATTCCTCCTCTCCTCCACGATAGTTCGCCTCATTCTCACTTATCGCTTTTTTTTCCTTATTATACGCGCGGTAATACCTAAAATTTACAATTAGTTATACACGGCGGTCGACGCTGCTAAGAAGAGGCCGGCGACGTAAAATGGTATAGGTGGTTCAATCTGCGTTGCTGAATCCGTTATAAAAAATTATGTATGAGTAGAAATGGCTTGATATATATAAAATTGTTGTGTAATAATAAACAACATTAAGCTGGTAGATTGATAGTGCCTGTTATCTTTCCAAAGAAGTATTTTGTGATCCGAGCCTCAGTTTCCACGATCGATGAACGTTGATGGACCGAAGGTGTCATCTTAAAAGCAATAATTCCAATTTGAAATGACACTTCCAGTTTCCTCGATTCGATTTGCATAGGTTTGAAGTTTGAAAAGCAGAAAAATTTCAGAATAAAAATCTCTAAAATGCTCACTAAATAAATTTAGGCCTAGTTGTTTTTCAGAGATTTTGTTACTTTTAATGAAAATTTCTTTGCTTTCTCAAGTTTGAAATATAACGAGAAATTATTATTTTGCATGTTGGCTAGAGAATTTTGGTTGCAATCTTCAAATCTTGTCTACTCCTCTACCATGCAAATTGACTATTTCTCTGAAACATTCTTTGAAACTGCGGAGATCACAAAAAGGCTTTGAAAGGCAACCTTCCGCTCATTATCTACCACGGAATGCCCTATGAGATTTAGCCTCAGTGTGTTATATGGATCGGATCACTCTTATAGCAGCGTGCGCAATTATACTACCAAATTCTTTTGGTGTGTAATATTGTATGGATGTAAAACCGCCAGGCGTCTCTTCTCTCTTTCTCTCTTTCTCTTTGTCTCTCTCTCCTTTTTTCTCTTTTTTTAATTTGAATAACAACCATTTTTTAATTTGTTTCACTAAATATATCACAAACTGCCGGTGGCTAATGCAGCTCTCGAATTTCCGCTAAACGTGACGATCGCTATCATAGGACGCCTCTAAGCGTCCGCGCGCTGCTACTAATATCAGAAACGAAGCGTTTAGCGTCAACTCGAGAGCTACCACCGGAAAAATATAACGTTAAGGGATTACGTGTTAATAGTTACATCACTGTCGGAAGACGCAGCGATCCGAAGGATCGTCAGGACACTATCCTCGTGTCTACGTATCCA